TCTATATTATATATTATCTATCGAAAATTTCATTTCCACTCTCTCTTAATTTTCTCAATTTGTTCATCTTTTTTGCATCTATCTATCTATATATCTATTTTCTATCTAAACTTTTATCTCTCCTCTCTCTTAATCTATCTATTTGTTCATCTTTTTCTATCTATATCTATCTATCTATCTATCTATCTATCTATCTATCTATCTAAATATATATATATAATCTTTCTCAATTTGTTCATCTATTTTTGCATCTATCTATCTATCTATCTAATTATCTATCTATCTTAATCTATCTATCTATCTATCTAAACTTGTTCATCTCCTCCCACTCTCTCTTAATCTTAGCAATTTATTCATTTCTTTTTGTTCTATCTATCTATCTAAACTTGTTCATCTCCTTCTCTCTTAATCTTGCAATTTGTTCATCTCTTTTTGCATCTATCTTCTATCTATCTATCTATCTATCTATCTATCTATCTATCTATCTATCTAAACTTTTCATCTGGATTTAATCTTTCTCAATTTGTTCATCTCTTTTGCATCTATCTATTATCTATCATCTAATCTATTTCTGGATCTCATCCTCCCCTCTCTCTTAATCTTTCTCAATTTGTTCATCTCTTTTTGCATCTATCTATCTATCTATCTATCTATCTACATTATTTTTTTATCTAAACTTGTTCATCTCCTCAGAAATTTGATTTATTCATTTTTTTTGCAATCTATCTATCTAAACTTGTTAAAATCAATAAATTTGAACTTTTGCTTCATTATAATCTAAAAAATAATCTCCTCCTCTCTCTCTTAATCTTTCTCAATTTGTTCATCTCTTTTTGCAACTATCAATAATGAACTATCTAAACTTGTTCATCTCCTCCCACTCTCTCTTAATTTCTCAATTTGTTCATCTCTTTTGCATCTATCTATCTATCTATCTATCTATCTATCTATCTATCTAATATCTTGATCATCTCCCTCCCTCTCTTAATCTTTTCTCAATTTGTTCATCTCTTTTAGATTATCTATCTATCTATCTATCTATCTATCTATCTATCTATCTATTTAAACTTGATCATCTCCTCCACTCTCTCTTAATCTTTCTCAATTTATTCATCTCTTTTTGCATCTATCTATCTATTCATCTAATCTATCTATCTATCTATCTAAATACTTGTTCATAACTCCCACTCTCTTAATCTTTCTCAATTTGATTCTTTTTGCATCTATCTATCTATCTATCTATCTATCTATATCTATCTATCTATCTAACTTGTTCATCTTAACTTGTTCTTTCTCAATTTGTTCATCTCTTTTTTGCATCTATCTTATCTATCTATCTATCTATCAATTTGTTCATCTCCTTTTTTAATTTTTCTATCTGTTCATTTTGCATCTATCTATCTATCTATCTATCTATCTAAACTTGTTCATCTCCTCCCGCTCTCTCTTAATCTTGGCAATTTGTTCATTTCTTTTTGCATCTATCTATCTATCTAAACTTGTTCATCTCCTCCCACTCTCTCTTAATCTTTCTCAATTTGTTCATCTCTTTTTGCATCTATCTATCTATCTATCTATCTATCTATCTATCTATGATCATCTATCTATCTTAATCTCAATTTGTTCATCTCTTTTTGCATCTATCTATCTATCTATCTATCTATCTAAACTTGTTCATCTCCTCCCACTCTCTCTTAATCTTTCTCAATTTGTTCATCTCTTTTTGCATCTATCTATCTATCTATCTATCTATCTATCTATCTATCTATCTATCTAAACTTGTTCATCTCCTCCCACTCTCTCTTAATCTTTCTCAATTTGTTCATCTCTTTTTGCATCTATCTATCTATCTCCTCTCTTAATCTTTCTCAATTTGTTATCTTTTTATCTATCTATCTATCTATCTATCTATCTATCTATCTATATCATCTATCTATCTAAACTTGATCCTCCCACTCTCTCTTAATCTTTCTCAATTTGTTCATCTTTTCATTTCTATTTTATCTATCTATCTATCTATAAATTTAAACTTGTTCATCTCCCCCTCTCTCTTAATCTTTCTCAATTTGTTCATCTCTTTTTTCATCTATCTTCCATCATCTATCTATCTATCTATCTATCTATCTATCTATCTATGATCATCTCCTATCTCTCTTAATCTTTCTAAATTTGTTCATCTCTTTTGCATCTATCTATCTCTATCTATCTATCTATCTATCTATACTTGTTCTCTCTTAATCTTTCTCAATTTGTTCATCTCTTTTTTGCATCTATCTATCTATATCTATCTATCTAAATCTATGATCTATCTATCCTTGTTCATCTCTCTTAATCTTTCTCAATTTGTTCATCTTTTGCATCTATCTATCTATCTATCTATCTATCTATCTATCTATCTATCTATCTATCTATCTATCTATCTATCTATCTCAACTTGTTCATCTCCTCTTCTCTCTTTCTTCGCAATTTGTTCATTTCTTTTTTGCATCTATCTATCTATCTATCTATCTATCTATCTATATCAACTTGTTCATCTATCTATCTATCTAAATTTATTCATCTCCTCCATCTATCTATCTATTAATCTTTCTATCAATTTCTATCTATCTATCTTTTTTTTCATCTATCTATCTTAATCTTGGCAATTTGTTATTTCTTTTTGCATCTATCTATCTATCTATCTATCTATCTATCTATCTATCTATCTATCTATCTATCATCTATCTAAACTTGTTCATCTCCTCCTCTCTCTTTTCAATTTGTTCATCTCTTTTTGCATCTATCTATCTATCTATCTATCTATCTATCTATCTATCTATTTGTTCATCTACTCCCACTCTCTCTTAATCTTTCTCAATTTGTTCATCTCTTTTTGCATCTATCTATCTATCTATCTATCTATCTATCTATCTATCTAAACTTGTTCATCTCCTCCCACTCTCTCTTAATCTTTCTCAATTTGTTCATCTCTTTTTGCATCTATATCTATCTATCTTAATCTTCTAAATTTGTTCCTCTCTCTTAATCTTTCTCAATTTGTTCATCTCTTTTTGCATCTATCTATCTATCTATCTATCTATCTATCTATCTATCTATCTATCTATCTATCTATCTAAACTTGTTCATCTCCTCCCGCTCTCTCTTAATCTTCGCAATTTGTTCATTTCTTTTTGCATCTATCTATCTATTTTCTTCCCACTCATCTTAATCTTTCTCAATTCATTCATCTCTTTTATCTATCTATCTATCTATCTATCTATCTATCTATCTTGTTCATCTCCTATCTATCTCAAATCTATCTATCTATCTATCTATCTATACTTGTTCATCTCCCACTCTCTTAATCTTTTCAATTTGTTCATCTCAATTTATATATCTATCTATCTATTTTATCTATCTATCTATCTATCTTGTTCATCTCCTCCCATCTTAATCTTTCTCAATTCATCTTTTGCATCTATCTATCTATCTAAACTTGTTCATCTCCTCCCACTCTCTCTTAATCTTTTTCTCCATTTGTTCATCTCTTTTGCATCAACTATTATCTATCTATCTATCTATCTATTTCCTCCCACTCTCTCTCTTAATCTTTCAATTTGTTCATCTCTTTTTGCATCTATCTATCTATCTATCTATCTATCTATCTATCTATCTATCTATCTATCTATTGTACTCCTCTGAGACTTGGGCCCAATATCACTGTCACATTAAAGCTTTGGAGAGATTCCATAAAATATGTCTAAAGAGAATCTTAAACATCAAATGTGAGTCCTTTATTCACGACACCGTTGTTCTTCAGCGAACCATAACATATAATATTGAATAGCTCGTCATCTATATCCAAATGAGATGAGCAGGGTCCCTTACTAAAATAGGTGATGACAGATTACTGAAGCGGTTATTTTTAGTGAGAGTTACATCGTAGTAAATGTCCCCAACACATACACAATGCTGCTAAATCAAAAATTGAAGAGGTATCCTCCTCATGCCAAGCAATAGTAATCACCATCTATCTATCTATCTATCTATCTATCTATCTATCTATCTATCTATTTCAATCTGTCCTTATCTCTGTCTGTTTGTTTATCTGTTTGTCTATCTATCTATCTATCTATCTATCTATCTATTTATATATTTGAAGTTTTTTATCAGTTTATATCTTGAAAGGTAGTTAGCTGAATCTTGATCTGAATTTTCTCTGTATTATGTTCGATCAATGTGATTAAAGGTTAAGTGTATTGATAAAGAATGAAATTATGTTGAACAAAATATGTGTTTTTAAAATAAAGGCTCTTTTCATCATTAGATTTCGATCATTCATTTTTATATTTCTTTTCTCAAATATAGTTTTATAAGAAAAGTTTTTAAAACATCATAATTATATTAATTTAAAAAATAATTTTACCTCAAGCAAGGTGATAAAACTACTAAGACAGTGTGAGATAGAGAAAGAGAGAGGGATAGAGAGAGAGAGAGAGAGAGAGAGAGAGAGAGAGAGATTTATACGATGAAAAAAGGAGTGGGAAAAGAGCAAAGTGTCAGTACTTGTCTAATGTTAGCTAAATATAGGTTTATACGGCAACAGTCAAAAGGAAAACGTTATAAGTTGATTGTGTTGCGTCATTCTCCAAGTGGGGAGGCTTTGTCTGTTGAGAAAATCAGCGATTAAAATCTCACTCTCTTAACTGAACGTAAACACAGATCTTGGGCACATTTGCACAACTATCTCACCCTCGTTGTAGACCCGCCATTATTATTTCTTATTCAATTACCTTTCGGTCCAACTTGCTTGCCTTTTAGGCAAGTCTGCTTTTCTTTATTTTCACGGTGTATCTTTACGTTGTATTTTACGCACATTACTTTTCTAGTTTTTTTTTTTTTTCGAGTGGTTATTGTCAGTTTTTGGGGCGTGAACAAGCTGAGCGAACCCATGGAGCGAAGATAATAAGCAGCATTGTAAGAAATAAACGAGAAAAGCCATATGAGAATGAACTGTGCGCTTACCTTTTCATAGCACCTTTCAAATAATAGCTGACTCTTCCATTCACTCCTGTGTCTGCGTCTGTGGCCTGCGGACAACAATTGTGTAAAACAAAGAAAATCTATATATATATATATATATATTTATTTTTTAAATTCATTTTTTAACATCTAAACAGGAACGATTGTTATTCATTTTTGAGTAGTTAATCTTATTTCTGTTCCTTTTTTTTCCCCAAAGCAACGCTCAGGTCGTTTTTATATATCTACGACCGTTAAGTAACAGCTTGGATACTAACCTTGATGCAATTTGACGGTATTGAGATTAGTGCATATGGTTTCCTAGAACTTTACAAATGTAAATATTTGTTATTTTTGTGGATTTTGATGGCTGGGTCATTGGAGAAGAAATGGCTTGAGTGTGCTGCATTCCGAGCCGCGAACTTGTAAGATTTTCTTTTCCGAAAAGATGGATTTGGTAGGGAGATAAGAAACTTATTTGACCACATCTTACCGAGAATTTTGTGACGTTTATGAAGGAGTGTCGCCTTGAATTTATCCAAAGGATATTAGCATTCTCGACAGCAAATGACGCCGATTCATTCGGGGGGAATTTAGAAAGGGAAAAACGAACGTTCAGAAAACGTCTTTGCTCATTTTAAAACTAAGTTGTATTTCGTGATGGATTCTGGTGGGAAATCTGTTAAAATATTAATAATTAATTGATTTGTTGTTATTTAAGTACCATCTCACTTTAGGGGGTTAGGGTTCAAGATTTTTCGCAGATCTCTTTTCTTTATTATCTTTGAATTGCCATATATACTTGTAAAAGATAATGGAGTCGTTTTCTGTTTTCTTCTCCTCGGTTTGAAATTCATGAGTTTTTCTTCTCTTACACTGATACCCCAGATACTTTGGTACTAAAGTGGAGTTGAAAAGACTGTTGCATGACTTTCCCACGGGGATTAGTGAAAAAGTAAACACAGGAGACTAGACCGAAATTTGAACTCGGCTCTCTGATTCATTTTTTGAGCCGCTAGCCATTACATTAAATGTATAATACATAGTTTATACAGATAATCCAGATATATAAATATGAAATTATAATACTAGAAGTCACAATATTAATTGTTAATGGGAACAATATCCTAACACTTTCAAGTAGACTTCTTTGTATATCAGTTCTTACGTTCATACATATTGCGTACATTTATCTATTTACGGTAAAACAGGTTTACCTTGGTTTATAATAAGCTTTGCCTCATCAACACTAAATATTGTTAACGGTGGTAATCCCACCTGCAGTGAGGAAAGACTGAGTCGGACAACCAGAACACTAGCCTCGGGCACGAAATTTCAAAGGAAAAAAAATGATGCATAGTTTCCTAACATGTCTGCCAAAGAACCTCTGATAAAAACCACTCAGTAGCGTTGGCCAAGCAATATTTAAGAAAATGGCGTAAAAGTAGCATCCGTTTTCTCTTTATTTTACGACTTGTCTCGATCATCTGTGGAGGTCCATTTTGTCCTCAGCGAACGGCGTAGTGTATTGACCACAGTGTAGCTACGCAGCTTATAATTCTCTAATCTTACTTGGCGTATCTAACGATTTCATCAAACCAACGAAAAAAGAACGATTATGTGAATATGGTTCGAAAATAATTGTTCGAAAAACATTTATTCGAATTGTAAATTGTTCAAACGAAAATTAACCGAATGGACAATTATATTAGATGATAATTATTCGAAATGAAAAATTCTTTATTGCAATAAAAATGTAAAAATTAAAAGAGGAAATACACAAATGATAATTATTCGAAATACAAATATCGTTAATAAAAACAATTCAGTAAGAAAAAATACTTATAATCTTAAGTTATATGATACTGCACGCAAATAGTCAACTACAGAAGAGTACTCGTTAAAGGATGCAAATAATGTTTTAAATTTTCCATTTATGTTGCAGTATTTCTTAGCGCTATTGATATTTTGGTAACCTGCTCTTACTTCTGCAATATGAATTTCTTGAAAGTTCTCTTTACTTTTAAAAGCATCTAAGAATTTCCACATTGTGCGGTAATGGGATGACGTTGGCAGCAAAAAATCCCTATGCCATCCTTCAAGGGCGTTCTAGATAAATCAGCATGAACTCTTTCAAAGCAAGATCACATACATATTTCAAATATAGATATTTCGAATAATTATCATTTAATGCGATTGTCCTTTCGATTAATTTTCATTCAAACAATTTACAATTCGAATAAATGTTTCTCGAATAATTGTTGTCGAATAATTGTTTTCAAATAATTTTCTCGATACGAAAAAGAACTCTTCTGAAATGCAAGTCTCCCATAGTCTTCCATAGAAATCTGATGCATATATACGTACAATAAAAAAAACAACAACACCTTTTCATGTAGATCTTCATCCAGATCTTCATCCAGATCTTTTGTATTATTTCCATTTCGTTTGTTCAGGTAATAAAAATTACTGTTAAATGTACAGGATTATTTGCTTATTCATTCTTAATCTTTTGTTTTGGAAACTCCGATGCCTCCAATATCCAGTAACTGAATTTACTTCAACAGTACTAATAATAAATAAAAACACCTTCCTTCTCACGTTAGTAAATTAAAAAAAACAAACTTGAATTAACCAGAGATCAACAGTGAGCCTATAAAAACTAAATAACCTAACAACATTGTCAATTTCAGTAGAGATTTCAATGTTATTATTAAAAAAAATGTACGATTTAAAACCAAGAGATTTGAAATAAATTTGAGTATGGCTGAGCGCTCGTTTTACAAATATACCCACGGCTAGCTAATCCCTTTTGCAGACGACCAGCTCAGGTACATTTGTGTTTGTCCAGCACACATGATGACTTGTAACTTTGTGCTAGCACAATCATCGATGACTTCTAAAGAGTTCCGTCTACCCGATTTCACTCACAAGGCTTGGATCAACCAATGGCACGGTTTTCAGGCATTTCCCAACAGTGCATCAAGCTGGGATCGTCTCGCCATCTCCTTGGCAAATCGACCATGCTAATATTGAAACCCTAGTATCAAGATCGAAATGCTCATGTTCTAAGCATTCGAGAAAGCAATACTGTTGAGTATACTGATAGTAGATGCAGTTTTCTTTAGTTACACTTGTAACTACATGAAATATATGTGATTGGTAGGTCTTCTAAACTGGACTGATGAAAGGGAGTTCTCACGGGTTAGGGGACATAATACTTGCCTTGCTCTGAGCGCTGACAATTAATGCTACGCCAACTGTCTACCTAGCAATTTTGATAGACAACTTCTTAAAATTATGCTTAAAAATCGAAGTACGATAAAACCTTTATTTAACGTCCCTCGATTTAAGGAATGTCAGATTTAAGCAACCATCCATGGATATTACATGGGTCATAACGAGCTGACATTTTATTTTTATTGAATAAAGTTAAATAAATACAAGAAGAAATTCATCGGGTTTGTGTTCATTTACTAGGGACATGTCAACATTGTTAGCTGTAAGTTTCGCTGGAGATGAAAAAAATGTAGTCGGTTTCGACTTTTTATGTTATGGGGTCCACCCCTTTTTCATACAAGTGGACTCGACCAGTATGTACTTGGACTGCTGCCGTTAAATACCCAGAGTCAGTGAGAGTAGAGAGATGGAGATTGTGTTGGAGGTATAGTAATAGTGTGAGGTAACCGCTTGTAGAAGTCACAGTTACAAGCACGTAGACTCTAGGGAAGTCCTACTTCGAGACTGTATATATATATATATATATATTGTTGCTAGTAACCACGTTTCTGGATCTACTAACCTTATTACCAATTGTATTATTGTGTAAATACATTTATTTGTTATATTTCATTCCTACGTTTGTCATTCATTGGAGATCGAATTTCATCTCGGAATCCACAACAATTTATAAAGACAGTTTTCACTATAACAATCCATACTTGGACATATTTTGAAGTATTCTGCATGTTGAAGGCCTTCCAGTAAATATATCGATTTCAACAGATTCCAACCCGAGTTTGATGTGTAAACATCAAACTTTTATTTCGGCTTCGCTCATCGAATCATCCCCTAAATCCTTCTTAATCATACAAATAGATTCTACAAACGAATATTAAAGTCTAAAACAAAATTTGATACATATTCACTGTGAATGCAACGATCACATAATACGCAATCTAAAGCAATGGCCTCTTAATGTTTCACGCATGGGAAGTAACCATATTTAAAATGGTTGAATACTTTCTAGACAGAAAATAACACCAATTCGATGCTATAGCAACTGAACCAAATCCAAAGTAGGTAGTCGTTTAATTTAACTGACAATGTAAACTTACCGTAATTTGTGAAATAACAGTCCCAATACGAGCATTTTCCTTTACATGGAGGTCGTAACTGTCACTCCTAAATGCTGGCGCATTGTCATTCATGTCCTGAATTTGTAAAAGAACGGTGGCCGAACTGGACCGTTTTTCAGGGGTATCAACTTCTCTGGCCACGACCTGGCGAGTAAATGAATAAATAAATAAATAACATCCATTTAGGAAAGAAAAAAAAAAGGTTATGTTATTTACGTTACTTTTTAAAATAAAAGGAAGATAAAGAAAATAAAATTGATCGAGTTTAGAGAGAATTACATACATTTTCAGTACAGGTAAAAAAAATTGATACTGTTATCTGACATCATCAAGCAAAATAGGTAAGAGAATAAAAAAAGAAAGAAAAAAAGACTGAGGACTTTTTAGTAAGTAAAAGGATTAAAAGTAACTATTTTCTCGCAGGTTTTAAATAGTTTACCTCTTTTTTTACGTTGCTGATTAAAAAGCATTAGTTCTTGATTAAGAAATTAAGAGAAGCTTTTTTTTTTTTAAAGAAAAATAAGAAATGCCGAAACTGCAACACTTCATACAAGAAATACACAAGTCGTATCTAGTCGTGTGTGTATTTGTGAGAGAAAGAAAAAAATGTATTAACATAATCTTGAAAAAGAGTTGCAATGTCAATAAAACATGGCGTTCTGAATATTTCCACATTTTATGGTTTCTTTTTTCATTTTTATTTCAGTAAATATCTATGGGAATTTGTTGATAATTATGTAACAGCAACTACTTATTATTAAATAAAGCGTCGATGTTAAAATATTTCGAGAGTTAAAACAAGGATATATTTTTTAAAAATAATTTCCTCCCAACCAAGGCAATAAAGCCAATAAGACGCAAGGGGGTTACTGATTGTGAGAGAATACGAGAAAAAAAAAAAACATTATTAAGGAGAAAGAACAATAAAAGAACAGGAATTAAGAAGATAGAAAATGACGATTGATATTGTATTTAAATTTTTGAAGATCAATATTGACCTGAAAGCAAGAAGCTGGAAGAGAGTTCTATAAGCGAGAAGTTATATATGTGTAACATTTGAGAGAAAAAAATGTCAGTTACGTATTTTATTGTCCTCTTCATCATTTCCATGACCGGGCACTACGTAGATGAGAACATATCTGCGTTGAAAGCCAGATAAAATATTCATTCATTTATAACGTGTGTTCGGTAAGTTGACCTGGCAGAACCAATCTCTTTAGGCCAAACCACAGCTGGTGTCAATCAACTTGTAAGCACGTCTTGGTCACGGACACATGACCGTTGATTTCCATCGGGAGGACTCTTAATCCTGGCTGTTGACCGGTCTAGAAAGAACCTATGCCGTATCATCACTGCACTGTCTGCATCCATAGCTATAGCGCTCCAGTCTACCCCATTGTGCTATACGGCTGTTGACCCTACAATAAGTTTTATCCGCCTTTTGAAAGGTTTTATTTTTAATTCTGTTGGGTGACTAGTCCCCCTCCTCACCAGAAAAACCTGGTAAGGGAAACCGGCTTAATCACCGATGACTCAAACATGCAGCATGTAGTATTAGGTTACATGGTACCAGTAACACTTATGGGTTGACCTGATATAAATCTACAGAAAGTATAATTTAATATAATGGTTCCTATGTTGAATGTTACTTTGGGATCTGGTGCCAAGTAAAAAATAATAAGAGGCAGATTGCTATATAGTAAATAAAGACGCCAAGGATGAAAGCGCATTAGAACAGAGGCCTTTTAGCTCCTTGGAGGAATTCCTCCATTAGCCATTTTTCAGGAGTGTAGCCGCACTCATCACACTTTGCCAAATGCGGGTTAGCGAAGCTATTTCATCCATAGTTTGAAGTTTTGAATTTATTGTCCTTCTCCTAGACCGGTTGCCACCCAAGGCTATAGAACTCAGTTTACTCTACTTAGTTGGAGAGGAAAAAGGATAGATTTATACCTTTCCCAAGGGTATTTGCAGGTAAATGAATATAGAGGACTCAACTGCAATTCAAACTATAATAAAAGTAAACTACAAATCAAAGACATATACGTACACCTTACAGACATAAGTATAATTATACGTATTAGATAACATACTGTACCCGGAATTTGAAATATGATCTTTAGCAAGAGCAGATATGACAAAAATTGATACTTATCTCTATTGGAATGTTAACTTAGGTTTTTGACCAACCGCATCAAAATTATTTTCTATTCAATATGTATATTTTCATTTGTGTACAATTAAATTTGTAATAATGCAATAACCCTTAAAAAAGTGAGAGGGGAAGACAGATCCTTTAATTGAACTCGACAGCTCAAAGCTCTTATCTATTTCTGATCAATCTAGACCAAAACATTTTGGTCTGGAACGAGTGTAGACGGGGAGCTCTGATTTGTAACTAGGAAGAGTTCAAGCTCCATAAAAGAGGAACCGTTTTGCCTGCTAGCCAGTCCATCCCGGCGAGTGTTACAAAGTCGCGCCCCTTTTGATATTCTTCGTTTTCCTCATTTAAAAATTCTAGTAGCAGCCGCCTTGTTTCGCTGTTGAAACATACGAATAGACCAGAAATAAGCATTTAAAAATAAACCTGTAGAAATATATCACTTCGGTGTTTTTAGGGGTGGGTATTTTTTCTTTTAATCTCAACCATCAATAATTTTATGAAGAGGATTGTTTAATGTGGCAGCAGCTGATGAATATGCGTTAAAATATTTTGATAAAAAAAAGACTCTTAAATATTCATCAATTAAACTTACTTGAAATTCTATCTCTTTTGTTGTCTCGTAATCAAGCATTTCTGAATTATTTACTCGAAGGATGACAGTGGCTTCACCGAATACTTCTTGCGGCAAAGGAGTGACATCGAAAAATTCTCTGCCATCTTTTTCTATCGTAAGAACAAAATGGCTGTTTGCACCCTGGAAATATAGAAAAACAAGACATGGTTAAGAAAAACAAATAATAATTCAACTAGAAACTTTATTAGTTAGTAAAATATTTTTAAATGATAGAATCAATACACAAAATAGATAAATATATGTTCATAATATCATCTGTAACAATACAATCAAAGGCGATATTTTTTAAAGGATGTTTGTTGATATTACATGCTCGTAAAATATCAAACTGTTTTAAACTAATTTATATCTTTATATGATATCACACTACCATAAACATTTTGCCTTAGAAAATTGGCTATCATGTTTGACAACCAATTCAAGGTAACGAGTTCATTTCTCAATGGATGCTCTATCTCAATACTGAACTGAATAAATATTTACATGAAATACGTTTTTTTTTTCACGGAAAAACCAGGAATGGATTTATGTTTTTCACAATTGTATGAGCTTTAAAAATAATATAATTACAGCAAATTATCTTATTTTAATCATTGCAGTAAAAGTTTTGAGTATCTTTTTATATTATTTCTCGGGTCCACGGGGCTATTTGACATAATAAAGATATTTGAATCTTTTGTAAGAAATTTTATTAATCTTAGATGATAGGCTCAAGTTTGTATATACGCACGTAATAACGCTCTAATAATGCTTTTTTTTGTTATTAATTCAGATTTATTGTGGTTTGGTGGCTTTTATGACATATCTCTCTTTCAATAGCTATATATATTTCTGAGATGAGGTAGTGTAACTATTTACACTATTTACATTGTTCGGACTTTTGTCCTCATCTTTATTGTCATATTCATGACGTTTCGACTGTTGTATGCTCCGGCTTTCTTCAGGTGATATACGTTGGAAGAGGCAAGGTGAACGAAATAAAGAGTTCGGTTTGAAATATCAATGTATATCACCTCATGAAGGCTGGAGTCTACAACGGCCGAAACGTCGTGAATATGAGAATAAAGATGTAGATAACAGTCCGAACAATGTAAATTGTGTAAATATCTCTCCTTGTTGGGTTATTCAGTGTAGAATTCGATTTTATTATACTTTAGTTTATAGGTAAATACTGGTCGAGTTTATACTTTCGTTTGTAGGTAACCATTGGTATGGTTTATGGTCTATAGTAAACATAAGTCGGTTTATACTTTTGTCTATAGGTAAATACTACTTGGATTCATACTTTTATGCACAGGTAAATATTAGTCGGGTATATACTTTAGTCTATAAGTAAATACTTGTAGAGTTTATACTTAAGTCAAAAGGTAAACATTAGTTGGATTTATAGGTAAATGCTGGTCAGGTTTACATTTTAGTTTATAGGTAAACATTGCTCGTCTATAGTTAAAAATTAGTCGCGTTTATATTTTAGTCCACAGGTAAACATTGGTATGATTTATACTACAGTCTTTAGTAAATATAAGTCGGTTTATATTTTTGTCTATTGGTAAATACTGGTTTGGCTTATACTTGAGTCCATAGTTAAATACTGCTCTGGTTTATACTTTAGTGTATTGGTAAACAGTCAGATTTATACTTGAGTCTATAGATAAATATTGGTCTGTTTTATACTTTAGTTTAAAGTAAACATTGACCGGATTAATGCTTTAGATTATATGTAAAAATGGGTTTATACTTGAGTCTATGGGATTACATTGGTAGTCTATACTCGAGTCTACAAGGGTCCACTCTATAGATGGCTCATTTTGGATTTTTTACCTCTCTGTAGAGGATTCAGTTGTCGTAGTCTAGGCGCTTGGTCAGGGGAACTTACTCTCTCTGAATAGTAATTAATCCCGTAAGTGACAACATAGAATAGGTTCTTTTATAAACCAACTTAGAAATGGTCAAAATATCAGTGTCTTTTTTCATTCGACCGATCATCTCTTAGAAACGAATCTTTACTTATGAATCGCGAATTGTTTTCATTATTCTAAATTGAGATTCAATCCAACATACACACATATAAGTTATTGGTTATTATAAATATTTATTATTTGTCTATAGAACTATTTGTGATAGAACTAAGGTCGTCAAGTGCATGAGTGTCATTTATTCCCACTTCAATTTTTATATATTTTGTTAGAAAAATATACTAGCAGTATGTGAAGTACCTTTCTTTTTATACATATGAAGTGTCATTTTATAAATACAAATATTCACCCAATATGTGGCCGAGGGGTTAGAACGTTTCAAATCTCACCATGGTCGTTTTGTCAGGAAGGAGACTGGGGGTGGCACCTTTGAAAAGTGCCTGAAAACCATACCACGGGTTGACTCAATCCTTGTGAGTAAAATTAGGTAGATGGAACGCTTGCACGAAGTCACAAGTCATCGTGGCCGAGGGTTTGAACGTGCTGGCCTTGTTTAAATTTCTCTTTGGGTCATGTCACTGGATTCTAGAGGACACATGACACAGTGGATAAAGGCGTTAGTTAGATCCAGTGACAGGACCCAAAGAATGTGAGTTCAATACCCAGTTAAGGCAGTGGAGAACTTTCAGAGGGAAATTAACAGGAGATAACTGATAACTGACATCCATTAAACATGGCACGTGGAATTAGAACAGTCTACCCCAGTGAGCGAAATAAATGGTTCAGTTCGACATTCTAACCACCTGAAGAAGGCCGGTGCGTACAACGGCTGAAATGTTGTAATAAATATGGCGACAAAGATGAGGACAATAGTCCGAATAATGTAAATGATAGAGATAGACGTGTGTTTAAATATATAATTGTACTTTATCTTCATAGGAGTGTGGGAGCATCAAAACAATTTCCCCCTACATCCATCATGTACACTCAACCTCATTTATTGAACTAGTTCATTGATCCGCATGAGACAGTAAGATATTCCATGAATTGATGTCCTGATGTATTGTCGGTTTATGAGTACAAAGTCAGTATTTTGAACTCGAGGTTTGAGAGACAAAACCAATAACCGATATTTAATGTGCAAGTTTGGTACAATGACCCGGAGAGCGTGTAATGTATCGGCGGGGTGAGGGCGAGGGAGAGGGTGAGGGAGAGCAGGTTGTTCGAAAGCGATCGAAAAGGGCCGCCGCTTAAGCCAAGATCCATGCATTGATTGGTATTTTCACATCGATCCGCCATTGTCGTTTTTGCTTTAACGTCATTCCTTCTTAAGGTGCAGGGCGGAGATGGGGTAGATCAACTCGATGCCAACATGATCTTTGTGAAAACGGTGTCCGTGACAGATTCAGAATAGAAAGTAACTGGATGTATGCGTGCAAAGTAGGAATATATACGCGCTAAGAAATACATACATACATATATATACATATATATATATATATATATATATATATATATATATATATATATATATAGAGAGAGAGAGAGAGAGAGAGAGAGAGAGAGAGAGAGAGAGAGAAAGGGAGAGAGAATGGAGTAAGGCAAGAGATAACCTCAGTGACTAGATAAAATAAACAGATAGAAAGACACACAAACACAGAAACACATACGCACACAAACACACACACGCAAACATATTTTTGTTTAAAGAGAAATGAAAGATCTTTATTAAGGACTTTTTATTCATTTTTCTTATCATTTTCTTGGTTTCCGGTACATATTTAGAAACACCTTGTATAATGTCTGAGTACTTTCAGCTACCGTTAGTCATAATCAATAACTTTTGTTTTTTGTATGTTACGTCAGATTCGTTATTCGTTATATATATACAGCAAGGATACACCATGCTAACTCTAAGAAGACGATTCCTTCCCGTTCATTCTTATTCCAAATAAGACATTTTTACCTAGGTTTTTCCTTGAGAACTGCCATTTTGTGGAACGGACTCCCGCTTGGTTACTTCCCTGAACACTGCAGTCTTACTCTCTTCGTGTCAAGGATCAATCGTTATCTATCCCCCGTCTTCTCATAATCTTCACTCCATGTAAATTTCGCTTTCATTCATATCAAGCACTTCATTCATAATAAATCTTTTAATAATAATCCTCTACCTTGATTGGCTCTAGAATTTTGTGATGAATTTTAGTATATACAAAACGACAGTTATATATATATATATATATATATATATATATATATATATATATATATATATATATATAAAGAAATGCACTTCCCATAATGCTAGTATATTTTTCTAACCAGTCTTGTACGGTAGTTATCTCTTTCTCACATGATTTGTTGTTTTCCTTAGCAGAATGGGCATTGAAAGCGCCCAAACGACCTCAAAGGGAAGTAATGTGCATTGTTTTATAATGTCCTGAACAACCCAGACTAACACATAAACATCGGTTGCCGCTGGCTGGAAGCGTTTACTTTATACAGCTTTCACATACTTTCTCACTATCAATCCTTCAAACACTTTACGGAAATTTTAATTCAATTACTAATATTTAAATATTTATAAATATGGATAAGAACCTCCTTTGGGAATTAACGCTGCGGTTTATTGAGTTAAAATCATTTTTTATTTGTTTTTCTTCTGGCGGTTAAAAATAATTAAAATCAAACCGAGGCTCTCTTCGCCAGTCGGTTGCTTCACTGAAAATGGCATTTATTGGAAGAGAAAGAAGATTATTTTGAAATTATTTTAGATTTCTAAACAGCAAATGCGGAGGGGAAATTAAATGCATTAAATCCGAGTCATCGCTTGAAAGTAATTTTTTAAAAAAAAAGTAATTAATTCAAAATTTGTTTTCAATTCAGTTTCCTTTTTCATTTGACATTTAACTTTTATTTTTTCATTGAGAAGGAATGAAAAAAAAGAAAGACACTAATAGATAGGGAGTCTGATAGAGATAGATATAGAAAGAGAATGAGAGAGAGAGAGACACCCAGACACACAGACAGAAGATAGAGATAAGGAGACAAAAACGTTTTTTCGAGTTTCGTTTCACTTAAAGATTTCAATTTTTGATAGAAACCTGTTTCTTATTATTTAGTCTTGTGTTTCTGATTTTTTTATTATGAAAAAAAAAAAAACAAAGCAATCAAAAGCCAAACAAAATCAAATAGAAAACAAAAAATAAACAAGAAAACCAACCAACAAAACCATTTAGTAGATATACGAACATCTAACTGTTTATAATCTCAGCTTATTGAGGAAATATCACGAGGTTGATTGACTCCCTTTTTATGTTATGAGGAAGAATTTCTTTCCACTTTTAGGTGAGGAGGTTAAAAAAGCAACAAATATCCACGCACGTCGAATCACACCTATTAACTCATTAAAACTTCCCTTCTGCAGAGAGAGAGAGAGAGAGAGAGAGAGAGAGAGAGAGAGAGAGAGTCTCTGTGTGTGTGTGTGTATAAGGGAGAAGAGAGACAGGAGAGAAAGAGTGAGATAGAGGAGAGAAAGGGTGAGAGAGTTTAGAGAGTGTGTGTGAGAGAGAGAGAGAGAAGCGAGATTGAGAGAAATATGATACAAAGTGAGAGGAGAGAGAGAGAGAGGTAACTTTTAGTCATATTTTTAGTTAATTGAGCATGAGTGAGAGGGAGATTGAGAGAGAGAGAGTGAAATGCAGAGAGTGAGATATGAAAGAGAGAGAGAGTGAGAGAGAGAAGGGTAACTTTTTAGTCATATTTTTACTTATTCGAACGTGAATGAGAAAGAGGAGTGAGTAGGAGAGTGAAAAAAAAGATAGAGTGTGTGTGTGTTTGTGCGAGAGAGAGAGAGAGAGAGAGAGAGAGAGAGAGAGAGAGAGAGAGAGAGAGAGAGCATGCGCGAGGGAGAAGGGTAACTTTTTAGTCATATTTTTAGTTATGCGAACGTAAACAGTGACCATTTATTTACTTAATCCAGCACAACGTCACAAACGTGAAAATCCAACGAGGAACAAAGACATTATAATTCTATCTGTCCTCTCGATTAATTTGGTAAGAATTATTTTACAGGCGTTGATTCTAAAAATGCTAACCTTAGTTTAGCTCACTACTGTACAATCAACGCCAAAACGGGTAGAAACCTTGTATTGTGCCAGTCTTACAAGTGAAGAGAACTAATTTACCATGAAACCAACAATATGGTCATTTTTGTTTACGGAAAGACAGGGGGCTGCAAAAGTAGGTATACATTAAGTAAAATGTTTATTATTGATGACATTATTGATATGTTTGTATAATCAATACAATACGTTTTATGCCATAAACCTAGAGAACCTTTTAGAAATCGAATTCACTACAATAGTAATAGTAAATTATGGCAGCTTGACGATTTACTTATTTGGTTGATTGATTTTGTTTAATGGCATATCAACACCTCTATGGATTATTTAATGCCGAAAATCTAAATATTATGAACACAATGTTATGGCTTCAACTACAGGTAAAATGCATTGTTGGTTATTTTGCTATAAAATGTATTGTTGGTATTTCTAGTATAAAATTTGTTATTGTTCATTTTGCTTTAAAATTTGACTTATTGCTAATTTTATTAGAATGTATTGTTGATACTTTTTATATAAAAATGTACTGCTGGTATTTTTACTATAAAAATGTATTGATATATCTTCAAAGAGTTTTGTTTTTGTTAAATATTTGTCCATAGCTTGGAACTTAACAGTTGCTACCTCCCCGGGACCTGGGAACAAGAGTAATTAATAGGAGGTTCCACTCCCTTTAAAATCTCTAATCTCTCAATTAGAGGCCTTTTTGCTGGATGTAATTCATTCATTCTTATATTTATGAAGCTTATATAAGGTGCAAAATCAAATATGGAGATGAGGAGGATAGAAAGATTTTTCAATGAAGGTTGTCGTCTTGTTTTGTAAATTAGCATTGAAATCATTGGTTTACCTAAGCTTAAATAGAGGGTTTTGGTACTGGGTTAGAGATAAGTAACAGTGTCAGCCACAAGGCAGGAATCGTTTTTTTTTTTTGTCTCTATTGCAAAGGTGTTTATCAAGTTTCCAAAATTCCAGCAAAATTAAAATCAATAAATAATTCACATCACAATAATGAAAAAAAGAACATCATTTTCTTTTCTCTCTCCTGAGAATTTCATTAATTCAGTTATTTCCTGTTGTGACTGATTCTTTTGTCGGTGGTTGGTTCTTGTTTGGAATTTCGTATATTCTAGATTTTTGTTCGAAATCGTACAAAAAAAAAGCATTGTTCTATACATTGAGTACTTTCATTTCTTTTACCCCTTTTACACTTTTCCTGCAATATCTTAAAGTCAAAAACATCCACCCCAAATCCTATGATCCACTTCCACTATGTTCAAAATCTCATTCTCCCACTACTCCCACCAATAAAGACAAAACAGCCTAACACGTTCAACCCGTATTTTGTATATATAAATAATCCATAAACAATATCATAAAAACGTTGTATAAAATAAATTAAATAAAAATAATAAAAACAATCCAGACATGCAAGAAAAAATTTTCCTATTGGAAATACGGACATTCCGCCAAAAGAACGTTAAATTCAATCACTTCACCAGGAACCTTGGTACCGGCAACACGTGTCCGACTTCTCTCTGTGTTATGGCATGTAATACCACGGAGTAATTTCTTTCTTTTATCACATGTACCATAAAACAGTTACAACCGAAGACAAATACACACACCAATACCCACACACAAAAAATATACAAAAATTGAATGAGATTAACATACAATTTACCATTCTTTTGCTGTTTGTATACTTTTTTTATTTTCTGTATCTGTTTATATTTCTGAGATGAGGTATTATGTACATGATTTACATTATTCGGACTATTGTCCTCAACTTTGTCACCATATTTATTACAACGTTTCGGTCGTTGTACACTCCGGCCTTCTTCAGGTGGTTGGAATGTCGAATTGAACCCTTTATTTCACTCCCTGGGGTAGACAGATCTAGTTCCACGTGTCATGTTTAATCTATCTATTTTCAAAAAAAAGTATCGCACGCGAGGATTCAGACAGTGAGGATTTTTACTAATAATAACATCTACAACAGTATTCACACCTGCCGTTGGTGAGTTTTCTCCATTTCTCTGTTTATTTCTCGCAGCGCCGATGAAGGACACAGACGTGCCTGAAAAATCCGGATTTAAAACCTTAATTTCCGTGTTTCATTCCTGTTTTGTGGTTAATAATTAATATTTAATAAATATTTCTCGTACTGATCACATTGATATCCAATAACATTTCTCGGACATTCAGGCTGGTAAATATTAATACTGTTTATTATAAACAGAATATTAATTTAAATATTTGTATGTATAGAAATAACGTATAAACAAAAAATATATTAAAATAATTGTCGGACTTAGTTCATAATATATATATATAATATATATATATATATATATATATATATATATATATATTAAGTTTAAAGCCAGCCCACCCGAAAATCAATATCAGTGAAAACTATTGGGTGCCAGTGAGTCACATCCTCAAATAGGAGTTTGACAATTTGAATGGGGGGGGGGGCTGAAATGGGAACTGTGTAATAATATTATTGTAATAATTTAAACTATTTAATTTTTTAAAAGATTTTATGAAAGATATATATGCCAAAGGATAGTAAATAGTAAAACGTTGCTGAGAGTTATAATGTACAGGAAGCAGTGGAGAGCCATTGTTGCCAACAATTTGAACTCAAAACCGGCACTGAAGAATTATCTATCAAACAAAAAAAAAAATTCATCAAAATCGGATGAAAACCGTGGAAATGCATAAACAACACACACACACATACAGACACCTACATTTCTAGAATTATCAATATATATATATATATATATATATATATATATATATATATATATATATATATATTGATAATATCAGTGGTCAATATATATATATATATATGAGGAAGAGGTTATAGTAGTTACAACGAGAGAAAAATGTGTATATTAAAAGAAGAGAGAAACCGCAAACGTTTTTGGTTGTAATGTGAATTTAAAAAACAAATATTATGATTTATTTTCTATAATTTTGCTACACGTGTTTCCTGTCTCGTGACCATCATCAGGCAAAGAGTGGAGATTTCCACATACTGTTAAAAATAATTAATTTTTTCTTATGTTTTTCGATGTTAAACATTCTTGATATGAGACATTCTCTTTTTTGTGTGTTAGTGACCCAGTTGTCTTAAAAATCCAAAAGGATAGAATCCAAGTAGAGCTTAATGTCCAGGACAGGGTTAGGGTTCTAAATTGCTATTCAGTATGTGTAATTGAATATACATAAATTATATGCGAAATATATATATATATATATATATATATATATATATATATATATATATTAATTATATATATATATATATATATATATATATATATATATAATTAATATATAGATAAATATATATATGATTTGAAATTTTCTTTATTTTTCCTTATCAAAGTTAGGGATTACTTAATTTTCAACAGTGAGCCTTTATATGCCGTCATTGGCTGATTTTGCTATGGTTGAATCTCATTTCCTTTGAGATAGATGCCATGTGTTAGTGTTTGTTTCACTTACCTCGTCTCTATCATAAACAGTCATGATATTTCCTTTTGTAAAAGAGATGGGCATGCCCTTTTGCATGTTTTCTAGCACACTGGCTACGTAAGACTTCCTGTTGAATGTCGGCGCTTTGTCATTGACATCCATTACTGTTATGGTCACGAGCGTGTTGGCAGTAATGTTGCCCAACTGAGGAAAAATCTGGTTCGATTCTTCGGCCTGAAAGAAAGAAAAAATGTTTATATTGTAGGGATGTCAAAGCATTTTTGTTTGTTTGACAGTTACACACAAAGAGAATGAGAAGAGAGAGAGAGAGAGAGAGAGAGAGAGAGAGAGAGAGGCGGACAGACAAAGAAAGAGTGAGAGACAAAAAGATGGAGACACGCACACACGAATAATGATAGACATAGATAGAGAGAGAGTACGAAAGAAAGAGAGAGAGAGAGAGATGTGCACACGAAGAATGATAGATAGAGGCAGACAGACAATCAGAGAGAGAGAGACTGAGAGAGAATGTGAAAGAGAGAAGGAGAGAGAGAGAAGGAGAGAGAAAAAGAAGAGAGAGATAGGTAGACAAAGAAAGAGAGTGAGAGACAAAGAGTGAGAGACAAAGAGAGAGAGAGACACACACGTACGAATAATGATAGAGAAAGAGTAAGAAAGAGAGAGAGAGAGAGAGACGCGCACATGAAGAATGATAGATTCAAGACGGATAGACAATCAGAGAGAGAGAGAGAGAGGTAATGAGAGAGAAAAAATGAGAGAGATCCAGACAGGCAGACAGAGAAAGAGAGTGAGATACAAAGAGAGAGAGAGAGAGAGAGAGAGAGAGAGAGAGGGGAAGAGAGACGCACATACGAATAATGATAGATAGATAGACAAAGAGAGAGAGAGAGAATAAGAGAAAGAGAGAAGGACGCGTACATGAATAATGATAGATAGAGATAGACAGACAGACATTCAGAGATAGATACAGAAAGAGAGAGAGATGCACACACGAAAAGTGATAGATATAGATAGATGGAGAGGAGAGAGAGAGAGAGAGAGAGAGAGAGAGAGAGAGAGAGAAGGAAAAACAACGCACAAGTATACAATGAAAGAGAGAGATTTGGAAAGACACACACAAGCATAGAAACACACACGGGCGTACACACAAACAAAGAGAGAGAGAGAGGAAAAAGAAATAGAGAGAGAGAAAGTGAGAGAGCGAGAGTGTGTGAAGGTTGATAGATAAATAGAGAGAAAGGCATAGAAAGAAAACAACCCAGGTGAGAAAGAGGGGGAGAGGAATAGGAGAAAGTGTGAGACACACACACGAAGTGTGATAGATAGATAGATAGATAGATAGATAGATATTGATAAGAATAGACTGTGATAGATAGATAGATAGATAGATAGATAGATAGATAGAGAGAGAGAGAGAATGCACATGTATACAGAGTAAAAAATCGAGTTTTGGGAAGACACACACATAGGCAGTGGAAGACACATACACAGGTGTAGAAAGACACAGACAGGCGTCTAAAGTGTGAGAAAGAGATAGATAGATAGATAGATAGAGAGAGAGAGAGAGAGAGAGAGAGAGAGAGAGAGAGAGAGGGAGAGAAAGGCAGAGAAAATGACATGGGCTAACAGGTATGGAGGCATACGCACGTAAATGTGATAGAGTGAGTTGGAATGATATACACATAGGCATAGAACGACACACACATGCGTACAGAGACAGCGAAAGAGAATAAAGAATGGAAAGAAATATATATATAGAGAGAGTGTAAGACACGCACACACGAAGAGTGATAGGTACACAGATTGACAAAGATAGAGAAAGAGTGTGTGTACGTATATAGAGAATGAGAAAGAATCGAAAAGACACACATTCAAGCATAGAAAGGCACAAACAACCCTGTGTAGAACACACATTCAAACAAAAGAAATATATATATATATATATATATATATATATATATATATATATATATATAACTACGAACCTAAAGAGCCAGGCAAACCTGCCAAGGTTTCACCTACGCGGATCATCCGAGTACGCCTCCCAAAGAGGTAACATTAGAACGGAATATATATATATATATATATATATATATATATATATATATATATATATATATATATATTTGAGAGAGAGAGAGAGAGAGAGAGAGAGAGAGAGTAAACACGTACATTAAGTGAGCGAAAGAAGAAAAAACACACATGCAGAAAGAAAGATAGAGGGGGGGAAGACGCAAACACTCATAATTAGAGAGTGTGTGTGCGTGTGTGTGTGTGTGTGAAAGATAGATAGAAAGAGAGAAGTGGATACACGCGAAAAGAGATAATGACAGACAGAAAACGAAAGAGGGAGTGTGTCTGTGTATGTGTGAGAGAGAAAGAAAGAAAGGATACATGCGAAAAGAGATAACGACACAGTGAGAGAGAGAGAGAGAGAAAGAGAGAAAGTGAGAGAGAAAAACAGAGAGAGAGAAAGAAAGATAGAGAAAAAGAGAGAGAGAAAGAGAGAGAGAGATGCACCTCTATGTATATATGTCGAGGGTAATATATCTGGTGCATGCTCGGATGTGTTTATGAGGGGTTGCGCCCACGAATCACCTTCAGTGGCGTCGTCACGTTGACATTAGGAGAGAAATAAAATAAGTAATTGAAAAGATAAAACGCCGAGAAAGCGTGAAAAAAAAGTTTTACTTTAACAGACATAAAGTCATTCGTCTTAATTTATTTGGCCCTGTCAAGGTTGGTAAGGAGAGTAACGGCATTTTACTGCTACTATCGAGCTGGCAAGACAATTAGCGGAAAGTTATTTGTTCATTTTTGTCGAAAATATCAGGGAAATATAAATTCATGCCTTTCCTTAAGGCATTAGTGAGAAGGGAATATAATCAACCTTAGCCGAAGCGAGTGCACGCTCGCGCGCGCGCACACACACACACACACACACACACACACACACACACACACACACACACACAGACGCCCCCCACACACAAACGCACGCAGATACACGTATATTTTTCTCAAGTTCAAAATTGAATAAATATTTACTCAGATTAACTTCATGCAGTACAAATCCAAATAACTTGAAGCTAAAACATAGAAATCATATTGCACCAGTTTCAACGGCGAAGTTCATATATTTCTTACGACTACGAGGGCTCAGCAATATACAGGTGAGCTGGCGAGATGTAATCGTAAGTTCATTGCCAACAGCTTCTTTTCTCGCACTTCTTTTCAAAAATTTAAGTGCAATGTCAATCGCTCCGTACTGTCCGCCTGATAACTCTTCTTTTTTTCTCATTCCTTAGTAAGGTTTCTGTTTTCTAATTCTTCCACATCCAGTAACTCCTTGTGTCTCAGTGGCTTAACTCCCTTGCTTGGGGCGAGCTCCATTAAAAAAAAATGATATTAGAGAATAGATGTACAGATTTATAAAACTTTTGGAGACAGCTTATTTGAAGTAGTTTGAAAGAAGTGCTTCCATCATATAAAATCTAAAGCTGTATTTTTATCTCTATAATTAACACTGTTTTTAGGAAGAGTTCTGCTTTTTAAATCATTAAAAGTAAAAATATAAAATAAATACCAACATGAAAGAAAAGAAATAAAAAGCAATGCATTAGCATCCTCAGCTCCCTACTTACTAACAAAATATATTATGCTGTTATAGTAACACATGTTCATTTATTAATTTTCCCAGTTGCCATAACAACGGAATATCTCATTACAAAGAAGGGGAGATCAAGCTGCATGAATGATAAATATATAAAATCACATTGTCCATGGTACCTAAACTTTAGGAAATTAATTGCATTACTTGACTGTCTCACCAATTTACAGTTAAATTGGCTCGATATAACCAATGAGTTCTATGCTAACAATTTCCTTTCTCGCACTTTTCGCTTGTGGAACTCTCTTCTGGCGCCATTATTTCCAGTCAACTTTAATCTTCAAAAATTTGAATGCAATGTCAATCCCTTTCTACTGCTTTTCTGATTACTCTTCTTTTTTTTTTCCTTGCTCCTTAGTAAAAAAATCTGTTTTCTTGGCAGGGACGTTTTTCTATGGTGGGTAAATGACAGCAGTTTCATTTTGGATGCATTAAAATTCCCAAGCCATTTCCTGCTCCACTCAACCACAGATTGGAGCACGTTTTCGATACCAACGGCCAGGTTAATTTGTATCAGCAAATATACTATCGAGACAGAACTAAATGGTAGTGTCGTCTGCATAGATGCCAACTTGAGAACTGATGATATCAGTAAGATCCTTGATGAAGATCAGATTCAGTGTTGGACTAAGGATAAAGAGTTGAGGAACGCCAGAGTATTAGGGAAGGAAATGGAAGAGAACCCGTTTAGAACATCCTTCATTTCACGGTTAGACAGGAATGATAGGAATAATTGAAATAATCGTCCTGTAATAGTGTATCCCTGTAGATTACGTACAAGACCAGCATGCTAAACGCTGTCAAACGCCCTCGATACATCTAGAACAACAGCTTCACCATTATTATCAAGCGCTTGGTATAGATATTCAGTTATTGCCTTATGCACATCAACGATAGACCGGGGAAAGTAGAAACCATATTTTTCATCAGAGAGAAGATCGTGGGAGGTAAGATGCTTAATTACTTCGGCATTCATTAAAGCCTCCAAGACTTTTGCCATATATATATATATATATATATATATATATATATATATATATATATATAATTATTTATTTAAAAATTTTTTATAACATAAATATGTTATTAAATCACTACTAAAAATAGCCATTTTGTTTCAACACCTCCCTTGATAAGACACCAGAAGTGTTTTAAACAAAATAGCTATTTTTGTAGTGATTTTATAACATATTTATGTTATAATTTTTAAATAAATAATTATATCTGCTCTACTCTGTATTGTGCACTCTTTTAAGAATAGTAATTGTTGGTTATTGGAATTCATTCCGTACGTTTATATATATATATATATATATTTGAATTGAAGGAATTGTATATATATATATATATATATATATATATATATATATATATATATACATATATGAATTTGAATTGAAGGAATATATATATATATATATATATATATATATATATATATATATATATATATATATATATATATATATATATATATATATATATATATATATATATATATATATATACACGGATAATCTGGTTGTTCAAGTCTAAGAACTTAGTTTCCGTACACTCATATGTCAAAACTGCGAAAGAGTTCAATAGTACATATATATATATATATATATATATATATATATATATATATATATATATATACACGTTCATTAACATTACTGATTGCCTTTTTTGTATGAATGATTCATTGTAATATATATATTATTATATATATATATAATTTGCATCAATCACGAAGGACGTCGGCGATAAATATATATATATATATATATATATATATATATATATATATATATATATATATATATATCGGCAACGCCCTTTCGTGATCGATGCAGGTTCCTATATTGTTAGAGAGCGCATATTTTTCTCTAATAAGATTTCTCAAATATTTAGGCTGGCAGTCGAAAAAACAAAATACGGTTTAAAAAAAACTTTGCCTCGTTAATGGCTATTAATATGGTATATGGTAATATGGCACACACACACATACACACACAGACATCAAATGCTATTAGAGTAGATATTCGTATTTGAAATAGACGTCCAATTTTTATCTTTACTTTAAACAGTGTGCATTACGTCTATCGTCGTCCACATCTCTTCCAATTATGTATATCCACTTTAATTACATTTTAAGTACTAATGTTGGATTAAAAATATATCAATTAATTCTTTAAAATATATATATATATATGTGTGTGTGTGTGCGTGTGTGTATAACGACAGAAAATAAGAAAAATACACCAAAAATCCTTATATTTAAGCAGACATATAATCTTACGTGGGTAATATTTGCGTACTTATATTGAAATACTCACGCAAACATACAGATGCACATACACAAGTATGTACAAGTACTTACACACCCAAACTAATACATACACAGCAGTTGTAGTCTGTTACACTGGTGGACTTTTAAATATATTGATATATGTTTGTGAAAATTGGAATCTCGTCATTGAGGAAAAGTGATTTGGAAGAATTTAAGTTTGTAAGCTTGTCAGTGCGAGTAGAGATAAAAAGAGAAAAATAGATGAAGATGAAGAAGTTATAAGAAAAGAGAGAGCGTAATCAAGAACCAGAGAAAGAGTGAAGAAATTAGGGGAACTAGGAAGATAAGTAATATTTCATTAGAGAGAGAGAGAGAGAGAGAGAGAGAGAGAGAGAGAGAGAGAGAGAGGGTTAGAACGAGGAAAAAGAAAAGTACATCAAGTGTGGCGGAGTAAGGGGGAAATAGTAAAAGCGCGAGAAGTGAAAAAAAATTAAAAGAGAGAGAGAGAGAGAGAGAGAGAGAGAGAGAGAGAGAGTAAAGTTTGTCAGATAGAGAAAAAGAAAGAATGAAATCGGATGGAAGGAGGTCAGGAGGGAAGGCAAATTGAATTTAATTTCATCACAGTACCATGACTGTCATGGCGTAGACGCCTCCCGTGTTTCTTAAAGTGTCTT